AAGGCATTTGTGTCATCTAATCCTCTGAATTAAACTTATGAAATTGAGATTTAGAACATTTTGTTGTGCCTCTATGCATGCATTGTTCTCTACCCTGACAACATTTTTGACAAATTAAATTGCTAACATTTTTACATCTGTCTGTTTTATTTCAATTTTGTAGAATTACAAATTGATGGCAATGCTTATTATTTTTGTCATATTAACACATTAATTAGCAGTTTCTGATAATTTTCAGTTACACATAATGTGTTTAAATGACACGTTGTGTGTTAAATTACATTACACAGTAGATGTGTGATCCATCTTAACACAAATTGTGTTAAATTTGACAACGTGTTGTCCCTGAGCACACTCACCACATGTGTTAAAATTCTGCACAACGTGTCATTTTTAACACATCTCTTTGCAGTGTAGGTGCGGTCACATTAGTAAAAACTCAGCAAAATTTTGCATGCAAAAAAGGGTCCATTATACTTTGTCAACAGCATAGAACACTGCTCACACAGAAGTCAGTTTCAAATTAATCAGCTATCTGGTTAGCGTGGCAAATTCACATGACCAACTTGAACTAGAGCAAAATCTGCATAGTGAACTTTTTCACCCTCATGTGCTCTCCTATTGGAATTACTGGATTTTGCTGTTGAATTTTCACAGAACAATGGCAAATGTGACCGCACATACAGTTGAGTGTATTTTAATATGGACAATTTTACCCAATATTTGAGTGCTATGTGTTTTTATACTTCTTACAGTATCACTCTATTGAAATCATTTGATCCTTCAAATCATCTGCAGACTCTCAATTCTGTAATATTTTTCACTATAGAATAAAAATGCTACCACAAATAATGATGTTATCATATGAAGCCAATATTTACAGTGCAAAGAGAGAACTCCATATAATGGAAAAATCTGACAGACAGACAGACAAAGTTGCCGTCACTGCATTTCAGCACTGGATGATTCCTGACCGGCCATATGAGATTATACTGGATCTCAGCAGTGGTAATTACTCTGTCACTTCCTCTACAGAAGCTCAGCTAGCTCACCAAGATTACTCTTCTCCTGAGTTGCATTAACTGGATTTTCAGGATTCATTTAGTTTCTTGTCAATAGTTTTCATGCTCTGTAGTCAAATAAATAAATAAAATAAAATAAATAAAAAAAAATCGAAATTTCTTACTTTTCACACTTACTTTAAAGGTGTTGGATTGCAAGGTAAGGAGAATCAACATTATTATGGTAATTGGAATGCAGTATGCAATAAATTATTTTGAATTAATAGGTTTCAAGTCTGCTTCACAAGAAACAATGGAAATTCATTAAAAATGAATTGCACCCACTGACATTCATTTGCCTGTGCTGTCTGCTTTGTTTAAGCGTTCAGACGTTCACTAAAGAAATTATGCAAATTAGGAAATGGTGCAAAGATGCCCCAAAAATAGCAATTTACCTTAATTTAAATATGCATGGATTGGTTAAATTGGACTGTAGTTTGTTAGTGGAAAAGTGGTGTTCGCTCTGAAATACATCACGCTAAACTCTGCTTTTGTTTCTCCCCCTGAGAAATTCTTATGAGTGAGAATCTGCGCGTGCCCTCGAGAGTTGACAGGAAGGTGTCTCTGCATCTGATCTCAGAGTCTCTATAGTCATGAATTTTTACACAGATTCCTGTAAGACCAGATAGAGAGCAGAGTAAAAGCATCAACAACGTCACCCTGCATGAGCTCAGTATAGACGAAAATGACATATCAGCACGAAAACCTGCCACTACACCATATCAAGTTAAATTGAATGATAAATGGATGGAAACACACTGGTGTTCTAAGTTGCTCTAGGACTCAATTTGATCAATTTTATCCAATAATAAAAAAAATTTCACTAAAGTATAATTATTTTCTGTTTTTCTAAATAATAATTTAGGCCAGTGTTTCTATACTGAATTTACTGAACTCAGTGGTTTTATGTGTGTAATAGTGAAATATTAGTCTTAGTTTTTCATGCTTGGAAAATCTGACAACACAATGGCACATCAAAAGACAATTGGCTCTACAAGCCATGTGATGTAAAAACCTCTCCAAGAGCAAATGGTACGTCTTTTTAAAATAGATTATGATGTCATTATGCATATGTGTGTGTGTATTTGCAAGAATGCAATAGGCCAAGAAGAGAGTTGGGAAAGTCGCCCACTAGTTTTCTCATGACCCCAGACCGCACTGAGCACGTTCCTCTGGGGACACAGCACTGAGAGAGGGACTCCTCTCACTTCCGTATATGGGACATCCTGATACACAACACACCCCACATCTCAAACCCTAACCAACATGGCATAAATGGAAAAACTCTAGTTCTAGCTGCAATGACCCCAAAAAGTATTTGGAGATTCAAGTCATACTTTAAAACGTCCAAATGGCATTGCATTAGACAAAATATCAAAACAAAAAGGTATTGCAAATATATGATGCTGATATTTCCAAATATTTGCAATTATTTATCAATGAGAGTTTTAGTTGCGCTCAGGTTCACACAGGTGTAGTTCATCACATTAAATACACACATGAAACTTTCCAAATACATTTTCTCTTAAAGGAATAGTTCCCCAAAAAAAGCTTTCATTAAGGCATTTTAACTTTAAACTACTCCTTCCGGCCAAAATATATAGTCCATAATCCATAACACTTGTAAACGGTGCTTGATTGGTGCAGATTTCTCTCCTGATTCAGATGAGATGACTTTTTGACTGAAGAAAGCAATATTATGGATAGAGGATATTTTAGCCTGAAGCAACGGTTTAAAGTTAAAAATGCCTTAATCATGATTTTTTTTTCTTACAAACACAGAGGTTTTCACTTCACAAGACATTAATTGATGGACTGGATCACCCTCATTCACTGCTGAGGATACACTGATGAACAAGTGATGTAATGGTGAATTTCTCCAAATTCAAATTCTCCTCGTATACATACATCATGGAT